TGCGGGGTGTAAACCGTTTCTAAAAATAAATTTGATTAAAATAGTATTATTATTTTATTATTATTATTATTTAGTAGAAAATTTTATACTGCTTTGTTTTCAAAAAATTGGTTCAATCTTTCCGTCTTTAACACGCAATGTTTAAAGGACCTAACAACATGTAACGGTAGATGAACCATGATAAGGTAGCAAGTTATCATTATCTGTCATTAACTTTTGTCATCTTTTGATATTACAGTATGACGTAAGGGCTTACGTCATGAGAAGTTTTTCGAAATCTTCAAGGGTAAATTCATCTTTATCTGAAAGACTCATTGGTTATAGTGATGCGGAGTTTTTACAGTTCTGCCGTAGATATGAAACTTTGCCAAGTCTTACTCAAAGACTGATTGTTGTAGTTTTGGCTAACAACTCCTTTTTGATATCTTCTTCTAGGAATTGATCATACCTTGTTGAAGTGAGAAGATGGTTGTCATGATCAAATTGAAAAAAATGTCAATGAATAACTCAGAATCCAGAAACAAATGATGTTTTGTTGAACTATACTCGCCTTTTGTGTTGTTGGGGTGTGTAGAGAATATTTCAATAAAATATTCTTCATTGTAATCACACTGAAAGAACACATTTATCCAGTAGTTAATTTTTGTACTGAAGAATGGTTCTATCACTGCATCCCTGAAAATAATCATCCTTTTCATGAACTCAGAAAAGAATAAATCTTCAGTTAATCTTTTGTTAATCCAGGGAGGATCACATTCCACCAAATAAGGATTTATTCCGATGTTGTATTGATCGGAAGATGAGGGGACCAAATTATCCTAATATTGGACTATCCTCAAGTGTTGTCGGAGTGCATAATCTTCTGGTAGTTGGAATAACCAAATCTGGAGTGCTCCAAGTTTTACTAACAAGGCATCTGAAGCATGTTGGTAGATTTTTTCTTTGATTGGGCTGGGTAGATGACCCAAAAATTTTCTTTTGAATGACCCAATATAGGCCATATGCTTTGTGAAGTTTCCATAATCCATGATTCCGGAATCATAGTCCATCTTTTGATGAAGATCTAAGATTTCGATTTTTTATTTTTTATTTTCTTTTTCCAAACAGGAAATATGTTTTTGAAAATCTTTTTTCTATTGAAAAAGAGAGGTTTTCAATTTTTGTTCCATTTTTCTAGCAAAAGCCAAATGTTGTCTGAGTTTAATGGAATCATAAATTGAAAAATTCTCTTGTTTTATTGGTTTTTCAAAAATGAAATTACCAACTTCTTGATGGTCCATCATGTTGTTATCATCTCCAACATAGTCGACCATTGTCTGTACAACTTCTTCAAGGTTACAAAATCCTTGAAATTTCATGTATTTGTCATTACCTATAGCCTTCAAAAGAGAGGGATATGATAGGTAGATGTCACTCTTGTCACTAGTAAAAAGGAAGTAGGCCTCATTCTTGGATTTTTTAAAAGAAGCGGACAACATTTTAAAAAAATAATAATTCAATGCATTGATAGCATTGAGCTTTACTGTTGGACTACAAGCTCGATGAAGAGCATCAAGTAGAACCTTTTGTTCCCTAAAAACAGGACAGTTCCTCAAATATTTGAATTGTTAAGGATGACCTTCTGGTAAAACCGGAAGATGCTGTGTATCAAACTTTAGAGTATCAAACTCTTCAGTTGCTGAGGTTGGTGACTTTCCTTTATTGATTGGGCTTGTCATATCTGTACCTGTGTAACTGATAGAATTCTGTAATACCCCTTTGTTAGATTTCTTATTACAATAAGAAACTATTGTATTTATTAGACAATACTCAAAATCATCTAATATTTCTCCTAATTCATTATATTTATTATCCACTTGAAAATCATATTCTTGAGGATAAAGGTGTATGAATTTATTATTTGTGAAATCATTTATTAGCCCATAATCTTTGTGGATTTTGTCCAAATTGATTTCATCAGTGTATTTTATTATACTAATCACTGATAGTATTTCAGAGTCTGTAGAAACATCTTCATCAATGGGAAGAAGGTTCATGTGGCAGGATTTTATGAGTTCTGCCTCTTTTGTGTAAATATTTGCTAGGTTAGGACAATCTCTAGAGAAATTTCATGGTTGGTTGCAAGCGAAACATTTTAATGTTTGCTTGTATGTTTTAGTCTCTAAATTTCCTAACATGTCTGTCAGGATTTAGAGTTGGTTTTCTAGAATTTGAAGACCTAATCGTATAGGTCTTTCTAGAAGTAGTGGGTTTTTGTTTTGCAGAATAAGAATTATGATTGTAATTTTTATTATACCTAGGTTTACTCCTAGGTACATACCTTCTGTAAGGTTTGTTTTAATTATACTGCTGAAGAGTATATATTTGTTTGCAAATTCCAGCATTAGAATTTTTTAATTGCTTTTGTATAGCAATATTTGTACATGTATCTTCCACACTTTTATGATGTGTTGTATACGTATAGAGAGGTTATTCAACATGAGAGTAATCTCATCATTTTTCCAGGATTCTCGGGTTTTTTGACCTAATTTTCCTAGTAGTTTGAGAAACATATTTTCTTCTACACTTAAATCATGAAAACATCCAGCTATGGTTGCGTACATGAGATAATCTTGTAAAAATTCTTTTATATTTCCAAAGTATGTTATGGAAAGTCTTTCTAGATAACCTAGATATATTTGTTGTCTAAGTGTATTCTCATCATTAGCAGATTGGGAAGTGAGTAACCTCTGTAAAAGAGAACAAAAATTGTATATGTTAGGATCTAGTTCGATCACTAACATGTTTAAATCAGTTGGGTAATTTTTTTTTGAAAGATTCCCAACATGCTTTGGCTATGTCACCTAAATAGGTTTCGCCTTTAGCAATCATTTCTTGAGAAGATTGAACATCTTTCTCGTGGTGTATGTCATAATCACGAATTACGGTTGTCGTCCATTGTTCAATATATGTCAGTAATAGTTGAAGATCTATTCCTCCTATGTTTAGAAGAAAGTTAGACATTTGAAAATTTGACTCAATCGGGAGCCTTTTGCATTGTGTTGTATATTGGTTGTTACTAAAAACAACATTTTGTGGTGATTCTCTGGGCAAAAAGCCGATCGAATAACTTTGTACACCATCAGGTTCTAGCTGACAGTTATGAGGTTGGAATTCATTTGATCCAACATTGGTATTTACTAACCCTAATGTGGATAAGGGTTCTGAGACTATGGATACATCATCCAATGTATCACTATTTATGTTAACTAACCCTATTGTTGATAAGGGTTCTAGGACTTTGGATACATCATCCAATGTATCATCTTCTTCTTCTAAACACAAATTATCTAAAAATGTATCTATAATATCGTTCATCTCATTAATGATATTATCCTTTTCATTAATTTAGACATTTTCATTTGTCTGGGACAAAAAATCTAAAGTTCTTTGTCTGTACATGGCTATAATAGTCTGATAATGATTCCATTTTTCATCAGTCATGTCATCATCATCTTTGTTCTCATATTCTATGAGATTCATCGTAGAAATGTTTTCGTTGTCAGGAATAGTAGAGGTGTTATGTCTGTTTTCCACTGGCCTATCTTGTTCTAGGTCTAGTCGTGGTATATTTCTGTAGTCTATAAAGCTTAGACTAAGTCCTCTAGATTTGTTATGCAAAATAGCAGATGAAGGGGCAGTAATAGGATTATTTTGTTCCCTTGGTAAGTGTGTTTGCCATAAATGTCTTTCATTTCTCCTTGTGAAGGCTTGAGCTGGCAAAAATTGTGTACCATGAGAGTTGATAGCTTCCTCTAATGATCTTGTATCTATCCTATACATGGAAGAAATATGGTTACTAATTCTTCTAATGAAGGTGATGTCTAAATGTAGATTTTCGCCCACCCAATTGGATCCAAATCCTATTGTTTGTACTTCTAGACTTATGTGGTTAACAAAATCTGGAAGTATTAGTGTAAAGTTTGGTGCAAGGTATATCAATAAAAAAAGTTTATTTAAATCTACCTCTAAAATACCTATCACACTTTGTGAATCATTGTTTTGAAATCTGGAGTCATGTAGAACTATCAAAGCTCTAGCTCTGATCATATGCCTAGTCAAAGATCTAACTTCAATAGTAATTAATCTCATATAGACATATCTTCCTTGTTGGCCTAGTAACTGGAAATGAAATCTTTTATTCTTCTATATCGGTAAAGGCTCATCCTTTCTGAGTTTAACCAACCAATATTGTATAATTGTCTAGGATGAAGGGAATCTATCATTGTATTTGATCCTATCTTAGTATTTTGTTGTATATCTACTAAGTCTTCTAAACATCTGACATTAGTAGATCTTTGTCTATTTAGGAATCTATCTAAAATTTATGAATATTGTATCTGGTTTGATGTTCCTTTAGTCTTCGGACTCCGAAAAATTGTTGTATTTGATTAGAATCTATTGTACTATTCATATTAACATTTTTTGTTTGTGTGGAGTTATTGGGTTATGTAAACATAACTAACTCCTAATATTATTTGTGAAAGAAGAAACTTCTTTTTTATTTATTGTTATTTTAACAAATTTTTGAGTATTCTTATAAATTGTCTTTGTGTTGGTTCCTAAAAATAATTTAAAAACTTGATTAAAGAGATCAACTATCTCATTTGACCTTGTTTTTATTTTTGTTTAAATCTATTAAATAAGTTAATTTTTTAAACACCTCTTCTAAAATCGCTATTATCATGTTATTTTGTTTAATAAGAACTGTGTGTAGAATCTATCACTGAAATAGGCTTTTTTATCCGACCGAAAGAAATTTTGTAATTTGTGCAAGAAATTTATTGGATTATTGTAGTTTATAAACAAATTTATCATATAACATATATCCTTATTACCTTTTTTATATAATAACTTTAATTTTTCTTATATGTAACCCATACGATGGAGTAGTGGGGGAAGAACAAGAGAAGAAGCATAGCCGAAGCTGGAAGAGAAAGTTTGCGAAAAACTCAGCACGAATGGGGATGGAGGTAGCCCTTGCGGAGCTGGAGCGAGTCCAAATGCAGCTCCTGCAGCGCATATCCAAACTCGAGCATTCTCATCTTCCATCATCGCCTTCCCAAAACGACACCGTTGACGACGCCAGCACCGACACCGTGTCGCGCCTCTCCTCCGTTTTGAGCAGCAAGGGCGTCCCCGATTTCTCCTTTAAGAGAGTCCCTTCCGATTACTATGATTGGCCTCTCGAAGCTCGTCGTGACGCCCTCTCCGCCGCCTCAATCCAACATCTCTGTAAAAGCATCGTTCTCATTAATACGCAAGCCCCCGCTAACGTCGTCGATTGCACCAACCGCAATAATTCCAAGTATTACGTCGTTGTCGTTCAGGTTCGCATTCTCTTCCTCTCGCTAACTCCTTAACTTAACTCTCTCGCTGCTTGCTTATGCAGATTCGTCTGTTTTGCAGTACACCGCTCGTTTCAACGCCGATGCTGTTAAGAATTTTCTGTATTCGCTCAACAATGGAAGTATCGCGAAGAAGAAATTCAACAGTAAGAAGTTCCCGAGTGAATGACTATTCGTTAATTTGTATAGTGTTTAATGAATTCTGGTTGAACATTGTGACGTTGAGAATTACGTTTGTTCGTGGACGAATGGTTGAGAGTAGAGACTAAACTGAATGTAGTGGAAACGGCTCTCATTTTTCCATATCAAGCACATCCAATAGGTTGATGTATTTTGAGAAATTGTCCATTTTTGGACAACTTAGTTGTTGTAGTTGACAATTTTAATCAAGGAATTTTCAAGTAGAGTTGGTTGGGAAGATTCCCGTTAAATATGTGTCTGATTCCGTGGAGCCATGAAGGAGAAACGTTGAGTTGGTGGGAATTGGCATTGGCAAGTACTTGTTTGCAACAGTTTATAGTGTAGATTTTCTCAACTTTTAAAAGTTTAAAAAGATTTTGGGGACAACGACCGGAGCTGAGTATAGTTTTAAAATGATAAATGTGATTAAAGGTAGTGTTTCTACGTAATTTAAAGTATTTTCTTATGGTGTTGGATGTTCTTAATGAGTTGTTAGGACTGTGTTGAAGCAGTTGTTATTTGTGTCATGGGTATTTGGCGTGATTTGAAGACTGCGAAGGTTAAAATTCCTGTCAGTGGTTGAGAATATTTGATTGGCTTTAACTTGGTCGGATGTGGGTCTTTGATGGTGCATCAGAGCTGTCAAGTTCAATGCATGGTACTTAAAGTTTCAATTTTGGTACAGTCAGGCTATTGTAAATGTTTCCTATCAAGAGATGAAGTAAATGTTCATTGAACTAGTTTTAATCTGCTGCATCATCTCAATTTTCTAAACTGAACTTCTGCAAACTGCAGTAGATGAGATTGCATGGTATATGGATCAGTGACCATTTAATGGTTGTTACATTGAAAATTCCAAGTGAAAATTCTAAGTAGCAGATATATGAAGAAATGTTTTTAAGACAAAGTGCAAGGACCGGAAATCCACACTTATTGACTCCCATCACTTTGTAGATACACTTTCCTGAAATATATTTTCTCCTTGAAAATCTGTTTTATATTTTATAATCTGTGTCCATGTGGTTATGCAGTCTCCTTTGGTTAATCCTTTCTCTTTTGTTCCTTTCATTATATACTCAGACAATTTTTCTGTTATTTATTTGTTAAGCATTTAAAATTTATGTTAATTATATCTGTAATTTGCTTTGCTTGGTAGGAAATAATAGCTGTTAATTTGTTATTAATCATGCAGTGAGGCTAGCTCCTGAGGAGACATCAATGGAGTTAACTGGATATGGACACAATGCAGTGACTTGTATTGGCATGAAAACAGATATTCCGGTAAGAATGGATGTGTGGAGTAGGTATACGATTCTTATGATATATAGACACTGAAATATTTCATCTTCATAACTAACCCAAAACAAGTCCTTATTCACACTGTTAAGGTTATTATTGAACACACTTTTGTCATGCATATCACTCAGCACATGAATTGATGATTGATACAGCCAAGGATCAGTTGGTGAATTAGCATAAAAATTGGAATGGACTTTTTTCTTTGGTTTTCTTTATTGTGACTTATGACCTCCTACTCATAATATGGTATTGATTATTACTTGTACTGTTAACACGAACTATGCTTTTACAGAGATGCTTTTACGCATGATTGGACCCTCTGCCTTGTGTTTAATGTTTTGGTTGGACTAGAACATAAATGTGCTCCTTTTGCTTTACTCTAACATATTGGCAGAGGGTCCATCATTCTTTTCGAATGTCCACTGATAGGATATATGTTCTTGTGGAGCATATATATGTTACATATATGTTCTCATGGAGCGTATGTGTAGGATATGAGTCTTTCCAGTCTTGATTCTAGCAGTTTCACTATTCTGTAATTCTAAATAAGTTTCTGTCTGTGTGTAATTGTCTATCTAAAAACCAAGTCCAAAGTGACTGGAGAAAGTATGTAAATTTTAGGATGTGATAATAGTTGATCCTTACTATTGATTGTCTCTATATGATTGACCCTTACAATTCAATGTTCCACATCAATAGAGCTGTCTCAAGAACGAATCACCAATGCACTAATGTAGGCTCTAACTCCACTTATCTTGCCATATTGCCAACTGCTGGGGACAGGTTGTTCTTCACCTTGTCTCAGAAATGTCCGTTTCTGAATTATGACTAGGGTTTAGGTATTCCCACGCTACCTTTTGCAGCCTACGTGTATCTCCTTATGTATTGACATTAATTCAAGCATCCTAGTCAGACTTTTACTATCATCTACCCTAAAATTCTTCTAGCAATTTTAAACTATAATTTCAATCCATTCTAAGTGTGTGACGGTATAGTTTTTTTTAATGAAATTTCATACTAGTACTACAATTGACAAAACACCACAATTTTTTTGGTGATTCAACATTATTTGTCCTTATCTGATGTTATCGTGTACTTTGGTTCCGTATGTCTATATCTCAATTGAATATATCTGCTAGATACCCAAAAATGCTGATATGTAGTATCAAGGTATGAAAATGAAAATGTCAGTTCTGATGAATGAGCATAACCTTTGTAGCTGATTACAAAACTCAGGTGGAAACACAGACAAATAAATCATAACCTACATTTTGAGAGGCCTAGTCTTTCCCATCCGAAAATTCTAACTGAGTTCCCCTCGAGAAACCCAGTTTCTCCGAAGACATATGAAAAAACATCTAAGTTGACTAAATAAATAAGATCAATAGGCACGCTTGTAATTTGCAGTCTTTAATCTTCAAAGACATCATCACCATTTCATCTGAGGACCACTCAGACAACCACACTTATATATGATTGTATGTCTATCCACATATTAGTCTTTATTTATTCACAAATTGTACTGGGTTAGGGCATTTAAAAATAATGTTATGATTTTATCCAATAGTCTTACGCTTTATATCTTCTTGTCTTTTGAACTTGTTACTTTCAATTAATAAAAAATAACATAAAAAATTAAATGCCTCGTACTCTAGAGAATAACATTGATATAAAATATACTATTATGGTCAACCTATAAAATTGGCCGCGGATATACGTAAACATTAACCAGATTGGAACTAACAGAACTGTACTTTTTGTACATAGAACAAGGACAGAGGCATATCTTGTTAGACCTTTTATCTCATCAGGAATGTTCAAGGGTCAATGTCCACTAATTAATTACAGCATTTCTTCTGTTACAATATATTCAAATCCCATATCATTTTCTTTTTCCATTTAGATGGATTGATGCAACCTGTTCATTGGTTGATTACATATTTTTGGGGCCATTTCAGGTGATTTTGGATGAAGCAATTGTAAAGCTAACTCCAGATTTCTTTTGGTTGGGTGGTGGCGAGGTTGATCTAAAGCTAGGGATCCGAACATCTCAATTGATCAAATTTATCAACCCATTCATTGTCAATTGTAGCAGTAATTGATTTTGTTGTGAAGAACGTGGTCACGATAATTGAGTTTACAAAGAGAGTTGACATTTTCAGTTTCTCTTATATTATTTGAATTATTGCCCTTTCTGGACGATGTTTGTTTTTTTATAAGTTTTGTGGTTTTGGTTGACGTAGGCATTATCGTTATATTTACAGTACTTTGAATGCAACCAACATCATAGCTCATAACATCATCAGGTTTGGGTTTATGATTATGATTGAATGATTTTATATAACGAGCTAACGAATTTCTTAGCAAGACAGGAGTGGAGGTGATAACCTTGAGTTTTACATGAATTGTACACACGCGGCAACAAACAGTAAAGAAAAGAAAATTTAAATAATTTTTATTAGTTAATTAAAACTAATTTATGTATAATTTAAAAATTAGTTTATAAAGAAACTAATATAAAATAGTTGTTATAAATTAGTTTATATATGAGTTAATTTATATTATAAAAATTATTTAACTTTTTTATTTTTTCTGATCACTCCTCCGTATTCTCATGTACCGTGCATAATCCATGATGTGCTTGAAGCTAAGGTTGCATATGTATGATAAAAAAAAAAGTTTTTCCTTCACGAACACCGATATAGTCAAAGAAAACCATGGAAGTAGCTGACATGCTAAATGGATAAAATTCAGAAAGGGAAGACTGAATAAAAAACAAATAAAATTTTGACACTAAGATGCTAAATTAGAAGGATCCGACATCTGCCTTTAAAAAGAATAGTTTTGGTACATAAAAAAAAAAAATTCTGTGAAAGTTTATACTAAAAGTAATATAAAATTCTATTATTCGAGAATGTAGAATAAACATAACTTGAGACTAAGATATTATTAATTAACCAAGATCAGCAAAACCGCAACACAGTTGCACAATGAGTCTTTGCTATGTTGTGGATAGCTTTGAACTTATCTTCGTTTGAGCTGAAGATCAACACCATGTTGAAGAGTGACTACTACCACCTTCCGGTATCTAAAGGGTTGGAGGATTCCATGACACCTTTCCCCATCACCTTGCCTAAGAGGAGGGACTACTACATCTTTCTTAACATAATATTTGTCTCATATCTCACCTCATTTTGGATAATCTCATATCTCATCTCATCTTGGTTATCACACGGAACAATACATTGTATACTTGAATGTAATTAATATGGGTTGTTTTTCAAGGAAAACAATAAAAAATACATATAACATATTCGGTTATTTTTCACCTATTTCTACTAATTTATCTATCTATCTCCTCCTTTCTTCATTTTTTTTTCAACCAAACACGTTTAATTTCTATTTTTTTAATCTATTTCCACATTACCAATTATTCTCATCAAACCTAGTTCTCTCTTCTTCACACCAAAAAAAAAAAAAATAATAACATGAAAGAGCACCCTTTAGATGTTACGACAACTTGCAATTCACATCTGATCTTAACTTGATAATAAAGAAAATTTCTCATTCATAAAAATTTTACCCTTCCATTACTGCCGAGGTATCTTCTCAAGTTTTAAGTGTTTTTTGCGTTTTCTTAAGGTAGGTTCGTTGTTTAAATTCATCATTCTTACACTATCCACCACTACACCAAAAGTAACTTTTGGTATTATTGTGGCTTTTAATACCAACATTTATTCAACATTCTCATTTTTGTTTTGTTTTTATTTCCTTATCATCTCTAGTAATTATATATATATATATATATATATATATATATATATATATATATATATATATATATATATATATCATAAAATTGAGACAAATTCTGCCAAATTATAATTGCTGACTCAATTCCATGCAGTGCAGACCTCTTCCCAATATCTAGATGAAAGGGAAAAGTGACTTCTATGTCTAAAGAAACTTCTTCATAAAACTTCCATAAAAAAATCATGAACTAGTTTTAACTATTTAAAAAAAATATATTTCATTTTTCTCTCCTTTCCAAAAATCTCTCATTTATGAAAATGTTCGTCCAAACAAATCTTATCTCTACATTCTTTTATTGAAAACCTGAAATACCAGAAACTATCAATTCGAATTAGAAGAACATCCCAAATATGCAAAATGAACAACCGAAAAAGGAGTTGCAATACTGAAACGGAGGAAACTTCTTTAACATTAAACAGATTCTTCTTAGAATTTATATACAACTGTACATAGTATTGAGAGAAATGTTGTTTGATATCGAGTACCGATACAAATTTATGAAATGGTCAATGAGGAAGTAATCATTATCAGATTGTACTGCCAATCTTGAAAATGCTAGTGGGAAGTCAGATCCCCAAAGGTGTTCTCCCCGCTGTAAGTGACATAAAGAAACCCATCCTCTTCCTTCTTCTCCTCATATATGGCAGACATAATTGCTCCTGAAAAATTTGAGAAACACAGAAAAGTTATAGGCTCCTGCTCCTACCCTCTATTAGAAGGCTAAAGAATCATATTGCAAAATAAAAATAAAATAAAATTGAAGAAGAATGTTCTTTTACCTGTAGGTGGAAGGACGTTGTCAACAAAGATAAATATCGCCTTTTCTGCGCTTAATTTAATCCTTTTGCGGATAACATAGACAAACTGTCCAACTGTCAGATCAGCAGGGACAAGGTACCTACGATTAATTCATTCAATTTAGAAAATTGAAACATAGGACCTACGACAGCTAGTGATACTTAGAAATTTTCAACATCAACTGCAAAGCATCTGACAATAAAAATGTTACAACAAATGATATCTAGTCCCCTCTATCTGATTCTGATTCATATAACATCAAATTCTGTTTATCTGATTCATAGTTCAGGTATTATTATCATTAGGCAAAGTGTGGAAGGTGAGAAATCGTGTTTTTTTTTTCCTAATAGAAAAAATCTATAGATCTCGGAAAATTTCCTCTATTTTCTATTAATGGCTGCATCCATTATAGGTAAAGTTTGTAGGTTTAGTTAGAAGCTTACTGCAATAAATAAATTCCAGTAGACGAACTCTTCAGAAAATCCGCATTGGATTGTGTGATAAAAGTTATGCTTACAAAGTTCCGCATAATTAGAACTTTTACCCTCCATCCGTTGTTTTAAGTTATCATTTCTTATCAAAGAAAAGATGATTCAAGCATTTGATAATATTCCTTTTTTTTTTTCTAAAATTTGAAATGAAATTTCACATGCCAAGTACTTGTAATCAATAGATGGATTGATCAAAAATACTTTTTTGTAAGTACTTATTGACGTACTAAATTGATTCAAGCTTTGTAGAGACTATGGTTCGATAGTTGATAAATTTGTTGATATTGGTAAGTTATGAGTTGTATGAATAACTAACAAATCATCATAATTTGGGTAGCCAAAGCCATAATTGCTACTTCTATTGTATATGAATTTCTCATTATTGCTGATTATGATCTAATTTAAATATAATACCAAAAATTGCTACATCATTATCTTTTCCCTTAGAAGATATGAACATATGAATAGAAACAAATAATGAGACGTTTCCAGATTATATGTATTGACAAAATCTTACTTCTTCTTGTCAATACTTGGAATATCACTTCTTTCTGCTTTCTCCACAATCACCTTCAGACAAATCAAGGGACAATTCAGCACAATACCTAGAGATATATTACTAATGTACATATTCAAGAATCAAACATACAGCAGGCAGCAAGTAAAACCATAATGGAACATGTATTTCCCTTAATTGACAGATATAATGAAGAACTAGTTCAAATCAGCAGATAAAATAGCTTGAGGGCATATGATACTCCATACTTGCGTTACCGTTAATAACCTTTGGTTAAAGGCCACATATGCAGTTTCATTCGTAAAATGAGTTGAATTCATTCTATAATTCAGTGGACTCTGTGATCGGTTATTTAATCTCCAATAAAGGATTTCAACATAGAGATAATAAAAATTGGTAAAAAAAAAATGCAACAGAAGATAATTTAGCAAACCATATACTTTCAAAATGTTTTAAAAACCAAACTAGATCAGGCAATCAGGAAGAAGTGGTCAAATCATGAACCTACCATGTCTCTTATCCGAAAATTATCCATTTCAATCATGAATTAATAGACTAAACCAATCAAACGATGACTTGGATACTTGTTTTTACAACATTTTGAGTCTTCCAAAAGAGTATACGACCACCACAATGAACAACAGTATAACACTAAATCATGAATATCAAATCTGTAATTCAATAATTATGCACCACAGCAATTTAGGTCGCAAAATTATGACATGAAAGTGCTAGTCAGTATCTCTGCTGATAAATTATGACATAAAAAGAGACAGCAGATAAAAGACAAAGTTTAAACATCCGAACACATTTATAGGGTTGAAAAATAGTCAAATAACTTGATCCTGAAAGGCAAAAGTTAGAACAGATAAAGAAACAACAGTTCTTGTGCCACAAATATATGATTCACATAGCCAGCATCAGTAACATATAGTTGCAGAGGGAAAATTAGAACTAGTTCTCACTGGGATACGGTCTGGGTATTTCTCCCTGATCCTAGCCGCCTCAGCTCTTCTCTTCTCTGCACACAAAATGAATCATTTATGTGTATACTATTCAGCTTTCCACACGATTATATTAACCAACAACAAATAACATTAAAAATCAAAATTCATCATATACCAAGATCATGCTCTTGTTTGAAGTAGCTCTTTGTCGCCATTCTTCCTGGAATTATCATCAAACAAAAGTTAATCTAAATTAAGAAGACAAACCGTCCATTCCTCGGACAAAGGACTAATAATTCGTTAATTCGCCCAAAATAAATAAAAAACACTAAGTTTTAGAAATGGTTAAATAAAAAAGGGGCGTGGCTTAGATACAAAAAAGAAATAACAAACAGCAATAATCACAAAAAAACAAGATGAAGATTGAGAATGGACCTACACCTAAAATTCTTATTTAACAAAAAGGGTGTGCTACGGAACAATAATCTTCGCTATATGATATAAAATTAAAAATAGCCCTAACTTCCAGATAATTATTTTTATGGAATTTCCGATCATCAATTCTTACTTGAATTTAGGAAAAGAGAAAAACCTCTAACTGCAGACAATCTTTCCTTAAAAAGCAGGGAGAAGAGATACAAAGCGGTTCCAACAATTTACTTGTGATCGGCGAAGGAAATTTGTTCGCCGATTAAAATAATTTTCGAAACTCAAAACCTCAAGGTTTACGAATTCTATTGTATATAATTGAGAAAACTAAACCTCGTTGAGACGATCCAAAAATAGAAGAAAATCAACGCTTCGGTTTCTTGCTAACAACTCCAACAAGGCTGTGTTTGTTTCAACATACTAAATATATTGCTTCTTCTTTGCTTTTGAGTCTTTCTCAACTATTCTTATCTTCATTTAATTTTTTATATGCATATGTAGCGAATAATATACGAATTTTATATTCATATATTTTTTTTATTTGTAAAACTAGAAAGGGATAAAATAAAATAAAAAATAAATTATTATAAGGTATAAATTTTATATGAGAATGGCCTCCTAATAGATAATATCATTATAATATAAAATTAACTTTTGATTTAGATGATCCATAAGTTAAATCATGAATTGTAACCTCAAGATAACTTTTAGAAAAGAAAGTAATGAGAATTTAGAAAAGAAAACAACGAGAGTGATAAGTGAGATAATAAAACATAAAATAATTATTTTTTAATAAATTAATATTTAACAAAATAATTAAATAAATAAAATAGTTTTGTACTAATAAATATACCTTTAATTATTGAAATATATTTAATATTATAAATTTAGATGTAAAAAAATAAAATAAAAAACAGACTATAAAAAAATAATTGCACTGATTTTTTAGATAATTGAAAGTGGGAAATTTTATTAAGCATAAAAGTAATATGCAAGAAAATTAATATTGATAATTAAAAAAAAGTGAGAAAAGATAAAATTTTATTTTATTTTTAATTTATAATATAAAAATTAGTGAAAAAAAAAAACAGTTTTGATAAATATAAAAGATAATTATGGCTAGTGATTGCATTGGTGAGTAGTTAACCCCACCACCAGGCAACCTCTGACAGCTATCATCAAAGAGAAAGGATCGAGTTTTGGAATAATAATGGGTATATTATGTTACAATTTTTCTCCTTTCTCTTTTTAATTGGGTTGCCAATTGTCATTTATCTCTATTTGCCACCCCATTTAAAGTAAATAATTTTTTTATGGTAAAATAACTCATTTTAGTTGTTAAAAATAATAATAATAATCTACGAAAAAAATATGAAGTTTTAGTTCACGTTTCTTTTATTATATATTTTTTTTATCTTTATAGCATGTAAACCAATATTTTTGTTTACTATCTTATTTTTTTTAGTTCTTGTTTTCTTTGTTGGTTTACTTCTCTATTAATTACACTCTTAAACCCCTAATCGCAAATTAGCAAATAACTAAGCTAGGGTGGCTTATTTTAACAAGGTTGCTTAGTAAGTTTTTAATAATAAATAAATTTAATTGGATTCATTTATACACATCATCACCTAGAAGAAAAATAAAACTCTTAAGTGTAACGTGAGTACCTCCAATTAAAATTACTTGTACGAGTTTTTTTATTAAGAAAACAATAATTTAATAAATAAAATTATAAACATGACTTTTTTAATATTAAGAACTCTAATGTAAATAATACTCTTAATTTGACAATTTGAAGGAAGCATTGTTCATATAATTCAATTAAAATTATTGTTTCCATTTATAAAAGACTCATGTTCTAGGAGTTCTTACACTCTCAAGTTACAAAACTTTTATATTATTTAACCTTTGTTATTTATTTATATTTAAATATAGAAAGACCAAGCATTTTTTTTTTCCTATATAAATATAAATAAATAATTAACCTATTTTAAAAATTGTCTGTAATTTTTCTAGGTCCGATTTGTCTAAAGAATCGATTACACACATCCATGTCTGATATTTTCAATTACATGCATTACCAAGCATTAAACCAAGATGAAATGTTGATATGGAGGCTAATCAATCATACCATTCCATTAAGTTTTTTACTCTCTGATTTATAAGTTTTGTTATACTTGATGCAAGATATGCAACATATTAAATGGTAATCCAGCAGAAACTAGTGATTTACTCTGCCATTTTTTTTTCCTGATGTTTCTGTTACACCTAGATTTTCCTAGTTTACATGAACTTTATACATCATGCAAAATCTAAAAGCTTTTCCAACCATAATGTACCAAATTGTAAATCACCAGTGCCCTGGCTTTTTTTAGTCAATATCTAAGTAAAGATCACTTGAAGTAGGAGAATCTGTAGGAGTCTCATTCTTCAGTGAAGATGGAACACGGTAAAAAAAACTGTTTTGCTTCTGCATTAAACGCCAATCTTCAATATAGGTCCATTGGCAGAAATTCACGCGGGGAAATGTTCTCTTTTCTATCGTTTCTATAATCTTCTTGGTCTTGCCAAAATTGTAAACTGCATTTCTCACAGTGTCCTCCCTCTCTTCAATGGTGCTATTCAAACACTTGTTGGATATAACAAAGGGTAAGTTGGTGAGACATGCACCCAATATATCAGCAATCATCGCTGTAAGTGCTTCAAACAACCTCTCACTCGAATTGTCTCTTAAGATTTCTTGATTTAAGAGAGCAGTTTTGCATATTCTGTACATAGTGTGAGATGCAGATACTTTGTGAGGCCATAATGAAGGGCTTACCTTGACGCATATGTGGTTATATTTGCCTCTAAATTTCTCATATCTGGTTTTTGCAGCATTGGCTAGTTGCTCAAGTGTCTCTTTGGGGCTCTTATCTTGAAGTGAGAGCTCATGAAGATCCACATCTAGCCACTTATCATATAGATCAACTCCAAGCCACACAATTTCTGCTGCCGACCTGAGTTTTAACAATTCTCCTTCTTTGTCCAGGTTATTTTCTATGAACTTTACAAAGGGGAGTCCCTCATTTAGAGTACTTATCAATTTTTTGACCGAATCTCTATTGATGTTTGGCAGTGCCACTACAATGCTAGCTAGTGTCACCAGAGGAAGCGACCAACTATATAGAGCTTCTACACAATGTAAAGAAAGAACTTGGTCACTGACAAATGTTTCCACTCCCTTGAATCCTTGCGAGAAAGAACATTTCTCCTCCAATAACTCAATCAGAAGTTTTGGCTGCTTTTTTTCTCCTACTTGAACCCAGTGAATAGTGGCATCGCGATTCTGTTTCAACATCACCTCAACTAACTCTTCCTCGCCTTCAAGATGCAAAACAAAACGTCTAAGATCCAGCTTTGGGGCAGACTTTGATTCTGTTCCCGAGCTAACGCTGGAGGCAGTAGAAATAAATTTGGATTTCAACTTCTTGCAATGATCAAAAGATGACAAGATCAAGCACATGAGGGTTAATGAAACGTACTGGGTGGCTTTACTCATTAGCACAATCCCCACCTGCAGTTTGATACAGAAACACAATAGGAGAAGTTTTGCATCATGAGCCAGCTTCCTGTACTGCCTATTTTGAATTCGAATACCAAGAGGGCTTTCTTTCATATAGATTAGCTTGGTAGTCCAGTACCCTTCAACATGAAACATTCTCTCGCAGGTCTTATTCCTCATACTGGGGCACTTATAGGTTATGGCAACGAACCATCTAAAAGCAGGAGCAATAGTACCCACCACCACTGCAGCAACCTGAACTACGAGAATTAAGATGATGGACCACTTGTAGTCACTGTCACCAGTGCAAAAATCAAACGACCATGACATCAAGTAAGATCGAAGCAGGGCCTCTACTAATGTCATGGTACTTAGAAGACAAAAGGCGCCAGAAGCAGTACAAGTCACTGACCTTCCAAGAACAAATTGGGGGCTGCTTGTGTGGGTCATCATCCAAATTTTCATCAGTTGATCCCTGATTCTGTTGACGATTTGATTCCCCTCCTCCCCAAACAGTTTTGAACCCTCCTTAAGTGCATCTTCATTCATCTTATGTTTCAGCTCGAAATAGTGCTTCATCTTTGGAATACTTATGGCTGAGGAGGTCATGGTCATCAATAAAATTATCATGAGGAGCATGATGACAGCATGTTCCACCCAAAACAAATAGATAACACCGGTGACAAACTGGATGCAGATGTTTACAATCATGGTAACCACAAGGATGGCCATGGCCATGAGGTTCATCATGGTGTCTTTGTTCTCGGTGATCCCAAGAGTAGGCATGGAATTGGCCATTATTGTGCAGATCATGGCGCTGCTGCTGAGTTTTGATAACTGATCATGGCGGTGTGGCATAGGGGTGTTGAGATCCACTGATAACTTCACTGCCACAGCTATTATGGCCAAGGAAGTGGCGTTTAAGCAGAAGAATTTGCAAGGAAACCAAAGTTTGCGGCCTCGAAATCCGTGTATGAGATCTGCACCCATCGCTATGAGACAGGCAAGAGATGCTGCTGCTATGTATATGCCAATCCATGGCATCGGTTTGCTGAACTTGGTGGCATCCATGTATCCATTACTGTCACAACCGATTATTGCCATCTATCTTTCAGGGGTAGTATGATGCTTCTGTCGTGGGTAAGATCATACTATTACAGAGTTATGTTATGCTGTGTATCAACCACAAGCATCTGAGATTGTTTCTTGGTTTACAGCAGTGTTGTGTTTTGCACCATACAATTTGGATTACTTAGTAGACCAAATTTGACAATTCTAATGGAAATTTTTTAACTAGTTTTCATATTTTCAAATACAAGCTTCAAAATTTGTTGACATTTAATAGTGAAAGCGATGTGGAGAAACAGTAGGTAGAATGCAAACAAGTTTAGGTGGCTAAAAGTCATCGAGTAAGTTTTGGCGGTAAAGAAATATTCTAGGGCGTTGATTGATGGCGGCAAATGACATTCGAGGTTAGTTTTCTACTTCCGTTGCGTGCACGATGATGTCATCAAACAATTATAGCATCTCTGACTCAACTCTTACACCCGTTTTTTTACACAAATCAAGTGTCCTAACATTACAAGTGGAGGACGATATTTGTCTCGTTTCCATTTTTTTTTTGTCATGCTTGTCAAATCGATGAAGTATACATCCAACTGTGACACAAAAACTCCAATTTTATCATTCTGTAGATATTTTTACTTTATTATTTTCCTACCACTGGTTTTATATATAAATTATATATATTACTTAAATATTGAGATTCTTTTATCAATATATTAATTTATTGCATTAGATTCATCTTTTGTAATTAATCGTAATAATTGTTTATTGGAAATTGAATTAGAGAAAAAAAATTATAAATAATTTTAAATAAGGTGTAAAAAAAGAGTAAGTGACAATGTTACATAAATTATATATTTATAATTTAAATTTAATTTAATAGATTAGTATTTATAATTTAAATTATAATATTATAATATATTTATATATTTTAATAACATAAAAAATAATTTTTTTAATTATAACTTTTTTATTTTAATTTTAATATATAATTTAAAAAAAATAGTAAATCAGTTTGTCTCAGATGTTTTTAATCCACTAGATTAATAAATTAAACAAACAAAATAAAATAAACTAATTTATCATTTCTATTCATAGGGATTAGTCAACAAAATATTGGATTGGATACTGTACCAACACTTTCTCAAATTTTTTAGTATTATGCTAGGCTTCAAATGGTTTTATTTTTAAAAATTTAGAATGCAAGTTTGACCTAAAAGAAAATTTTAAGTGTATATCTAATTTAAGAGCGTTTAAAATTGAATTAATATAAAGAAAAAATCACAAGTCAAATTAAAATATTTTTTATTTTAAATTTATTTTATTTCATTTTAATATTTGATTTAGTTTTTAAATTTGATATTATAATTAAATGATATTATATATTTTAAAACTAATTAACAACTCATAAATATATCAATCACTTTTTTTATAATTTGATTATATTACAATTAAAATATATTTATAGTAATAAATTATATCATACTTTTTAATTACAATATTATATAATTTGTTTATAAATATAAAAAAATTAAAACCATACCTATAACAACAATTACATTAAAAATAAATCATAACATATATCTTTATTTAACATCTTTTCTTATAGAGTATTTAAAAATTAATCTATTACTTTAATATATATATATATATTCTATTTCATTTTATTAAAACTATAATATTTATTTAATTATTTTTTATTTATTATTATTTAATATAATATCTATATTAATTACTATTATTATTATTATTATTATTATTATTTTAAAATCTTAAATCTCATCTTAGCAGTATTTCTTAAATACATTTTTTAAGATTATTTGAGTATCGAAAAATATATTTTACAAATAAACAATAAAAATTATATTTTATTACTATTTTAAAAAATATATATAACTTAATTATATATTATAATGCATACTTATTTATATTTTTGCAAATATATTAAAATATGGATAATAATATATATTGTATAAATGTAATAAAATAATTGTAAATTTATAGTTATATAAAATATTTATAAATTTTAAACTTAAAGAGATTATTTTGCTAGTTATTAAAATCTATAATCTTTATTTATTCTAAAATGAATATTACGGATTTTGAATTTTGGAAGGATGAAAAATAAAAATAACAAATATTTTATGATGATTAAAACTAAAATTTATGTATTTATAAGGATTCAAAATCAAAATTTTGTAGGTTTATAGATAAAAAAAATTAAAAAATATTTTACAATTATTAAAACTAAAATTCATGTGTTATAAGAATTCCAGGGTTAGATTTGTAGAGAAAAGAAAATCCCAAATTGGTTTCTCCTTTAGAAAACCGCTGATTAGTTTTTTTCCTCAGAAAATCTCAAATTCCTTCCACTTTCAACCCGCAATCGGAAATGGGAGGTCACGGAGGTCTGAATATTCTCCCTCAGAAGCGATGGAACGTTTACAACTACGACAACAGAGAGAAGGTTCGTCGTGACGAAGAACAAGCCGCCAGGGAGGAACAGCTCAAGCGCGAGCAGGCTCGGAAGCGCGACGCCGAGTTCCGTCTCGAGCGTCTACGCACCGCTCGAGGTTTGGCACCAAAGCTTCCGCCTCCCGAACCCAAACCTGAACTCGAGCCGGAGCCTTCATCCGACGCTGGCCACATCAACCTCCTCGAAGGGATCAAAATTTTTGACCCGATTCAGGTGCCTCAGAAAGAGGGTCCACCCGCGAAGAAGAAAAAGGAGGAGCGAGGGCCCAAGCCAGCCGTTGTTGTGGGCCCGGAGGATGAGAAGTATAGGCTTGGTTATGGGCTTGCCGGAAAGGGGGTTCAGTTGCCGTGGTATCTTCGGAAACCTAATGATGATGTTATCAAGGATGAAAGCGGTGACAGGGATAGGAGAGAGAATAAGGGTGAGAAGAAGAGGAAGACGATGGAAGAATTGAGGGAAGAGAGAATGAAAAGGGAGAGAAAGGAGAAGGACCGCGAGAGGGCTTTGAGACAGGAGAAGATCCAGAGTCACAGAGATGTTTCTGGCAGTAGGAGGAGGTTCACCAGATGATTCTGTGTTCGTCTTTTGCTTAATTCCTCCTTGCTCAACATTTCAATATACGTCTGTGTAATTCAGAGATTGCGAAGAAGATTGAATTCATGTAATTTTAATTCAAATTCAGTTGTTTTGATTCAGTAGTTTTGTAGTAGGAAAGATATCTTTAATATAGTTAATCATATTAAAGAATCCCTCCTTCTTCAATATGTCTCAATATTTGAAGATATCATACGTTTGTGTAATTCAGAGATTGAACTTATATAGTTTTGAGATTGAGAGGGTGATTGAACTCATGTAGTTTTGATTCAGTAGTTTTGTATTAGGGAAGATAGATTAATATAGTTAATCCAAGTGGTTTGGTTTTCTTTCATGAGCTTATGAGCTTGTACATATACCTGTGCTTCCTTTGTCAAGAAATTTTTTATGAAACTTGACTATTAGACGGCAGTCTGTCTATGCTTTTGTGATTTTCATTTCAATTGTATTTATGGAGATGATGAAGATAATCTTCTGAATGTGAGAAGACATGTTGAGGAAGGAGGGATTTGTTTCTGATTCTGTTTTGTGCATTTGCATCTTTTGAATTTCTTTTTTCCTCAATCCCATTTTACTATTTAGCCGTGTATATTTTATCTTAATTAGTTTTGCTGCGTTCTTTCAGGTCAAGAAAAAGAATTTGATGGAGCATGTGTATGGACACATGTCAGGGACGTCAGGAGCACACTAGGAAGGTTAAACCGTGTGAAATTTGTTATTAACGTAAAAACTACAAATTGTAGCTTCTGTTAAAACGTGTCTAAGATGCAAACACAATGCAGGAATCAAAGCAGAAATGAGTGGTATTTTCCTGACTCTGGGGAGCTTATTTGTCCTGCTTGTGGAAGATAGCAAATATACATGCAATGAGATAATTTATGTGATACACAGACATTTGTTTCAAGTTGTACTTCACATGTTTTTCTTTTAGCAATGACAGTTTATAATGTTTGCTTGCTTTCAATGACATCCTTACCCTGTTTTCCAGCATTCTTAAACACATATTCTAGCCACTCTTTCTTCCAAGGTTGTCAAACTCTCAACTTTATGATCTAGGGAAAACTAGTTAACTAACTATCAAAATCTCTTTTAAATTCTTTAAAATTGTGGTAAACTCACATAAACTATTTAGTCAAGAAGCAAGTCAACGAATTTGAAATTAAATGAAGTTTTTGCCCCATATTTACCCTACAATAACAATATTTTATTAGGACTCAAATTATTTGAAGTAATAACTAATGAGCTATCATACTTTATTATGGTGATTTGTTACTTTTCTTAATTATGAAGTGAAAATATTGAATTAATGTGAGTACCGTGTTATGCATATATGCTATTAATAGATTTAATATTTTTTTTTATTAAGTAAAACTCTTACAAGATTCTAAATTAAATCTACGAATTGAGTCCATGAAAAGCAACACGAGTTTATATAGAATCTCATATTTGATAACCTGCTTTCTCCCCCAAATCTTGTGACTTCTGTGACTTGTGACTTCTCAGCAACTTCTGGCAATATATAACCGTGGCCAACTTTTTTGTGACTTGCGGCTGACTCTTTGGTGGCTTTCCATTGAACACTAACAATTTCCAGTTGAGTCAATCTCTAATCGAATCAAATCTGTAAATGTTCAGCTGTATTAATCTGTAGGGGTTTGTAAAAATCCAGTTCGAACCGAACTGTTTTAGGATAGGACCGAACTGAACTGGTTTACAGTATGACTGATTAGTAACTTTGTTTTTCTTAACTTTGCAGAAACCATTCCCTCACAAACGTTACTTATTCAGCATCTCCTGTTAAAACCAGATGATGATGATGACTAATGAAGAATGCTTCTATTGTTGAGACTTTGAATTAGGATAATTATATATTTAGTGATTTGGACCTTGATCTTTTTTATGTTAATAACTTGTTTTAAAAGTATCTAATTATGCATTGCTTTCGGTGCATGTGCTTCACTATAAGAACGAGTTTTACAAATCTTGGATTTCTTGTTTACAAAAGCTTGAAATATGCTGTTTGTTGGTATTTGGTTAATTCTAGTTCAATAGGCTGAGTCACATATAGTATGGGCTATTTGAAAAGAGAAATAGAACCCTGTTAAACATGGTAAGAAGTATGTTGAAGTTGAAGAAAGTGCCAAAAGAGCTATGGGGTGATGCAGTTACCACAGTTGCTTACATTCTAAACAGGTCACCAACGAAGAAGTTAGAAGAAATTACATCTGAGGAGGCTTGGACAGGAAAGAAGTCTGGAGTGAGTCATTTCAGAGTGTTTGGTTCTCCATGTTGGAGACATATTCCAGATGAGAAGAGGAAGAAACTAGATGATAAGAGCACTGAGTTGATTTTTGTTGGCTACCACCCAACTGGAGCATATAGGCTATATGATCCAATTGGGAAGAAGGTTACTTACAGCAGAGATGTGATAATAGACGAAGAGAACTTGTATAACTGGACTAGAAGTGAATCTCAGGCCTGAATCTTGCCAGTTTTAAATGAAAATGCCAGTGATGCAAATCCCGAAATAGTCCCTCCTACAGCTGTTCAAAGGGCCCTACAACCATCAACAAGATTAAGAGGCTATGAAGTTTACACTGATGATGTAATTAATGAAGAAGGGGAGCTTGTTCATTATGCCCTACAGGCAGATGTAGAACCAATTGGACATGAGCAAGCTTTGAAGGAAGAAATATGGAAAAAAGCCATGATGGAGGAGTTAGCTGCAATAGAAAAAAACAACACTTGAAAACTGGTCAGGTTGCCAAAAAGAAAGAGACCTATCAGATTGAAATGGGTATTCAAAGTTAAAAGAAAGCCTGATGGATCTGTTGCAAAGCATAAAACAAGATTGGTTATGAGGGGCTTTATGCAGAGAGAAGGAATTGATTTCACTGAAGTTTTTGCTCCTGTGGCAAGGATAGAAACAGTTAGAATTGTTGTGGTACTGGCTCATTCAAAAGGATGGAACATGTGGCTGCTTGATGTTAAGTCAGCTTTCCTCAATGGATTGCTTGAAGAGGAAGTATATGTAACCCAACCACCCAGGTTTGAGATTAGGGAGAATAAAGAACTGGTATACAAGTTAAATAAGGTTTGTATGGTCTTAAACAGGCACCAAGAGCCTGGAACAAAAGGATAGATGGATTCTTGTTGAAGCTTGGTTTTGAAAAGTGCAAAGTTGAATATGGTGTCTATGTTAAAGAAGAAAGAGGTGACATAGTTATGTTATGCTTATATGTGGATGATCTTCTAATTACAGGTAGTAATGAAACTATAGTCCAAAAAATCAAGGAACAGTTGAGTCAAGAATTTGATATGACTGACCTTGGGATCATGTCCTATTTCTTGGGAATAGAATTTGTTCACAAGAAAGAGGAGCTAGTAATGCATCAGAGGAAGTATGCATCTGAAGTACTCAAAAGATATGGAATGGCATAATGTAATGTAGCCAAGAGTCCAATTGAGTTTGGACTTAAACTTGATACTGGTCTTGAAGAGAAACCAGTAGACTCTACACTCTTCAAGCAAATGGTTGGCAGTTTGAGGTATCTATGCCATAGCAGGCCAAATATTGCTTATGGTGTGGGTGTGATTAGTAGGTATATGAATGATCCAAGATCATCTCGTATGGCTGCAGCAAAAAGGATTCTGAAGTATGCGAAAGGAATACTCGATTATGTTCTGTTATTCCCTAAAGTAGATTATAGTCAAGAAGCTAAACTAGTAGGTTTTTTTTATGCGGATTGGGGTGGTGATATAGAAGACAGCAAAAGAACCACTGGTTATGTCTTCAAGCTATTTGGTTCATCTATCTGTTGGAGTTCAAAGAAGCTAGATGATTAGTCTCTCGACTTGTGAATCATAATACATGGCTGCTGCTTCAACAGTTTGTCAGGCCGCTTGGTTAGAATCTCTCTTTGTAGATATGAAGGTCCATCTTGAGAGTGTTGTTCAGCTTAATGTGGACAACAAATCTGCAATTTGCTTGGCAAATAATCCAATAGCTCATGGAAGAACAAAGCATATTGGCACCAAGTATAGAAGCAGACATTTTGACAAAGTCACTTCGAGGAGAAAAATTATACAACTTCAGAAAGAAGCTTGGAGTTGCAGACTTTGTAAACTCTATGAACTAGAATTAGGGAGGAATGTTAGTATTTGATTAATTATAGTTCAATAGGCTGAGTCACATATAATATGAGCTGGAACAAAAATCAGTTTTTTTTATTGCCTTGTAATTCTGTCCTATCAGTAAAAAGGACTTGTGATATAAAAATTTTGTATATTGTTCATTTTAAAGTGTGAAATATAATAACAGTAATGTTGTTTTCTAAAATCTCTTCCTCTATCAGTTCTATCTGATCTGTGATTCCAACACTGATTACATTAAAATTGGCAATACTCTGTGTTGCAGACACTGGGACAAGATGGGTGCAAGGATGGAGGCCCTGGAATACAGATGGCAAATATGCAACCAACTCTCTCCTCCCCCATTTCCAGAATATTAACCCAATGATATATGTTGTTTGAGTGGTGAGCGAATTCCCTCGTGCTTCTATACCTAGTTTAAAACCCTTCTTGTCCAGTAATGTGATCACAATTAAGTTGTTTAACTTGATAATGCAAAGAGAAAGGAAATAATTAATTTATTATTGGGAGTTTTTTAAACACGTTCCAGCTGAATCCAAAGCTGAGCTAAGTTTTAAATCATTGCCTTGTATGTGAAGAAATTAACTTGTTGAGTAATGCAATTGTTGCTTCGAAAGGGATATCCAATCCAACCCTGTTATGACCGTACTTAACTGCTGCTGGACGATATTCAGATGCTTTTCTGTATACTCTGAATTCGTTTTGTTTAACACAAGTACAAATAAGCTCCATTACTCTAATGAAAAGAAACTCATAACGAGAATGGACAGAATAAACACCCCAGTAGAGGTGAGCATATTATATTATAAAGTAAAAAAAATAATATCAAATTAATGTTATATATGTTAATTTTTATTTTATTTTCTTTGATGGAACAATTATTAGTTTCACTTTTTGCTTCCTTTACTCTTTTTTTTCTTACTTTAATTTCTTTATGTATGATATTTAGAAAAGTCAATTTGTATTGATGAAAACTTCAGTAGTTAAAAACTGTACATTTATAATATTTGAGGGATTAAAAATTATAATTAAGTCAAATTTTTATTGTCAATAAAGTATAAATTATTATTATTATTATGATTTTTAAGAAAACAATGATAAAATATGATAAGATTCACAAACTTATTATAAATAAAGAAAGTTGTAATGTAATGACATTATAAAATTCATTTACGAAGCCATAAATAGAGTATTATTTCCTTGGTAGTATAAATATTTCAATATTTTTCTTTCCCTTTTCAAGTTGGACATTTCGTGAATAAAAATAGATTCGCCTACGATGGTCGCCTGCATAATACAAGTATATATTGTGGGTAAGCTGTCACAAAATCATGTCTCCTTGTTTATTTTATATCTAAGGATTAACTTTTTCTAATTGACTTACAAGGCTAAAGATAAATTACAAAGTTGCCTATAAGTAGTTAATGTATTAAACCTAAAATTAAATTGGTTTGATATTATTTGAGTTTGATCTTTAATGAAATTAACGATTAATCATATTTGATTTATGTTTTAATCTGGTCAAATTATTCTGAAACCAAGAATTGGGACATTGGTGGATTATATATAAAAACAAAAACAAAAAAAACTACAAAAAAAAAAAGTAGTTCTATGCTAGTGTTGATTTGTTTGTTTCTCTCATGCAATTAGTTTTTACTAGTATTCTGTAGTTTAAACTAACATCCCTCCATTTAAAATGACAGACATGTTTATCCGTTAAAAAAGACAGAGTAGGATGGAGCCAAAAAGTCAGCTTGTTAAATTTGGTGGTTGGAACATGCCAGCCAATCTCTTGTGTCAAATCAAATGCTTGCTAAAGGGTTTGCTTTGCGTATGGGACCATTGAATTATTCAAACTATAATTATTTATCCAAACTTGACATAAATGACTAGAAGGTTTAGTTCCAAATCCTAGTACAAGGGCAACTTTAAAACCAGAAGCTCGTGAAGAAAGAAAATCGTCATTGGTTGGTGGTAAGAGAAGAGAAGATGTTGGTTCCGTAACAAGAAGAGAATCTGATAATCATATGGCCATTAACAACACAGAATCAGAGATTTTCATGAAGGTTACTACAAATGATAAACGTTCCCTTTTACACATGGAGAACTTGACCCTCCCCTCGGTAGGTTTACTGATATACTCTGCAATTCACTCTCCATAGTTTCAAATTCTCGTCATTTGATTATTTATTTCTAATATAATTATTGATCCCAATAACTCTAAACTCAAATCTTTTGATGAAGATCTCATATTTGAATCTTGTAAAAAGGAAAAATGTTGGTCAGAAGAGAGAATTCATTACAGACTATCAATCAAGTTTTTCAAGAAATATTTGTTAGTCATTGACTTGATCACAGATACTTCACATTAAACAGATCATTAATTTCTGATGCATGTTAATCAAAGAAACAACTGTTTGAAGTCTTCCTATTAAGTTATTGCAATATCACAAAATAAATGATTGTAGAGATGCCTAGTTCAGTGCTATATTTGGTGATGGTTGATGAACAGTTTCAGGTTGTAGTGATAGCAGCAAATATGGGGTGCAATGGGTGCAGGGGGAGAGTTTCCAGAGTTGTCTCAAAAATGACTGGTAGGTTTTAAACTCTGCTTTGTCTTTTGTGGAGAAATTTTAAATTATCATCGTAATCTGCTTCAAAGCCAACTTCTATTCTGCGTGACCAATTCAAGGGAAGCTAGTCAAACCATATCTTTAATAGAGATTATCTACGGTCAAACCATTAATTTGGTGTTCCTCGTCTTGGAATCAGTCTCCATAAAAAAAAAAAGTAATGTTATTTTATTTTATAATTTTTTTTTCTACAAATCTTCTGCATACTTTATAAAAAAAGTTTTAAATAAAAAAAATATATTTAATGTCTATAAAACTTAAAAAGCATTCAATTATTTATTTTTTATCCAAAGTAGGAGGATAAGTAATCAAATACCTAGTTTAATTTTTTAAAGCAAAAAGTTAGCGCAACATATCTATCTTATATATTAAATTTAGAGTGTTATTTTATTAACATATTTATGTCATCAAATTTGAGTGTGTTTCATCTTCATTCACCAAATTTTAATGGTTATATATATGGTAAATTAAGCACAAGCATATGAAGAACAGTGACGTTTAAATAACATTTTTAGAATATTGGTTTATTCAGTTTTTATTTTCTTATGATAAATGCTTTTAATTTCTTCCTCCTTTCCTATTAAGTCATCCTTCTTGCATTTTTTTATCTTAATTGCGCAAAAAGAAAGTCTAAATAAACAGACTGTAATTTATTTATGTACTTATAATCTTTTTTAACTTGAATAAGAAGATGGAATGTTACAGAATCCATTCAAACCGTTTCAAACCATTAAGCTGATTGTAAAAATGAAATAAAATAAAAACTACATAATTATCAACTTAAAAAATATCATTACAAGAATCTTACGTATCGATCCTAAATTGATACAAATATGTAGGTTAGTCGACACTAAACCATACAAATGCGATTGTCACCTTTTTTTTTTAGAAAAAAATATCAATAAATTTGTATTGAATCACACTATCTGTTCCAAATAAAAGGACTGATTATCAACATGAGCTTAGTATAGTGTCTTATTATTTATGGATATTCTTTTAGCACGTGACTACAACAGAAAGGTTGGTCCTTTTGTCCTATTAAAATAATTTGATCTTAGTAAGATTGTCATCATGTCACAAAACTATTTATTTACATGCAGGGTTGACAGAGTACACAGTGGATGTGGGCAAAAGAGAAGTAATTGTAAAGGGAGATTTTATAGCAAATTGCAATTTCCAGAAAGAAATGTATAGAAGAAACACCCTGCAGAGTGTGAATGATAAACCCAAGTCCCTGTCTACATGTTTAACTCACTCTCACTAATATTAATCTAACATGAGTCATATCCTAGCTACAAAAATTAAATTATAACCAAAATCATTCAAATTTGTGTTACTTAATATTGATACGAATTAATTCATTTATTTTATTCTCCTGCTTAACCGGGTCTTTTAGAGAGAAAATGCTTCAACTTATACACAATAACCAATCGAAAATTTAAAACCACTTCAACAAGGATTTCGTAGTCTTCTCCAATTTATTTTATGTATCCCAAATTTTCAATTGACAGTGTCTAACAAGCACTAAAATTGCTCGCATTTTTCATATGAAATTTCTTAGACGTGTTATAGAATTGGATTAAAAAGAGGAAAATCGGAAAGCATTCAAGCAGTAAAATTTTGGCTAACTTGATTATTCAGATATTAAAACTATTGAAACTAGTGCTTAGGCGTAAGGCTTAGTTACTAAAAGTAGAAAATAAGAACTAAGATAGACTGATAAAGATAACCGAGACAGTAAAAATTATAAAATTGAATTAAAAAATTAATGTCAAATTACACTCTCTAAAATAGATCAAATTTGCTACTGAAATAATTTTATTGCTCATATAACTAAAATTTGATATAATCAAATATAAATAAATATAATGGCAACTTAAACTAACGAGTTCAGCGTGTGAGATTCAATTTCATCCCACTTCAAAAATGAATTAAATATATCAGCTTATTCAACTGTTTGACTAACCTATTACATGCTGACAAGTGCACTGGAGGATGAAGATGATTTTTAAGTACATTACTGTTGTTCCTTTTCATTTCGAGTGTTTACTTGAGATAATTACCATGTTTAATATATAAAATCATTAGTTTTCTTCTCTATCTAAACAAAAATGAAATGACGTTTGCGATATTTTGCTGGTCATCTGTCCTAAGAAAGAACTTTCGTTATAGACAGTTGTAAAAGGTTTCACGTCAATACTTGAAAGAATACCCTAGTCAAAAAGACCAAAGATATAGACAAGCTGCTGTAATTCTATCGTCAAAAGGTCATTCTTGACATGAAACCACGATAGAATCCATGAAGATTGAGTTATTTGTGGTCATCGTTGACAACTTGACTTTACCATTTAGTCACTGGATGAACCACAAAAGGAAGAAACAAGTAGCTTCCCCTCTTTAAGTTACAAAAAGAATGCATGTTACCGAAAGTATGAGTCAGTTCACAATCAGAGTAACCGCAGACCCACGACTTCGCCTAATGCTTTCTACTCCCAAAATGTTAACCACCAAAAAAAGAAAACAGGAAAAAAAAAAATCTGCAGAATTAATCTATTTTAACTTTCCTCATAATTGCTTGAATAGTCAGGAACAAAGAAACTAAGATCGAAAAACTATGGTGAAAGATTGAAGCGCAGAAATGCTTAGGTCTTCTTGAAGAGATACCCCATAATTATGCCAAGCAAGCCAATTAATACGACAATGACAAATGAGACTCCACCACGACTTTTGTTGCCTTCCCGCTTCAGTAGATCCTACAAGCAGTAAAATTATTGCATTAATAATACTAATAAAATCATACTCAGTTATCCACAACAGAAACACATCCGGTCACGATTCAGGCTAAAAGCATGGATGACAGTTGTTTCAACATAAACTGGAAGGAAAGAACTTTGACAGGGAAGAGTTTCATTCTTAGCAGATCATTGCAGAGGAGAGGAAAAAAAAATAGCTATTTAAAACAACCCAAAGAATCTTCGGTATGGAATTAATATGTAAAGTTATTAAACACAAATATCAATAATATCCATCCTAAATGTGAAAAAAGCACGAACTCACAAACAAGATGATGCAGAAAATCTACGTTCATGTTCATCATTTTTCCTTGTACCAAATAATCAAAACTCGCAAAAACTATCCCACATATAAGATTGTTTTCAGTTACCTTATAGTTCAAGCAGGGTTTTGAAATAATTAGAAAGAATATATGATATTTCAGAGACAAGACAATAAAAAAAAACCATATCAAAGGCAACTGCCAGAATCAGAATCAGTATCACTCATTCTACAAGGGAGCTCGTATTTCAGATTAAAATCCTCCATCAAAAGAAAAACAAAAATAGATTACACAAATTAGTAAATTTAATTATGTACCAAATACTGTAAATCCTCACCAGTTCCTGGCGGAGCTTGTTATTTTGTTCAATTGCATTATTCTTTTCTTCATTCAGCCTTGAGATAAGAGCTCTAGCCTGTAAACAAACAACTATAATCAAAATAAAGCTCCCAAACAATACCAAGTCAAAAAGTTACAAGCTGGTGCGAATTTACAGTACATGAACCAAAAAGACTTTAAAAACAATGGATCCATCTCATAATGGATTAGAAGTGAATAAGAATGTTGTTAAGGAGTAACTGTATAATATATAAAATTGACTTCATAAAACATCACACATACATCACTTAAGTTCAAGAAAGTCTTGCTTCCCGAAACTATCTTTACACAGGTAATCGGCTCAACATGGGGTATGTATCTATATTCCTTCATATCATATGGTTTTGCTTGCTTGAGAAGTTCAATATCAATTGTGAATAGCTTTAAGAAAAGAAGGCTCTATGCAAAACCATGAAAAGAAAAGAAACCATTTACAAGCAATGAGTCTACCAAGAGCAAGAAATCTCCTAAACCTTTATTTACTTCCTACTGTTGTTAAAACCTCCAATTGAAAAGATCAGGAATTGCAAGCACTTGGACACAATTCTTGGCATTGGAATTTTCATCCAATTGATATGCTCCAAGTGCGATCATACGGTTGCTTCTTAAAACTCATTGTGTACATTTACAAAAAAATAAATAAATAAATAAAGCCTTTCTAATTTACCTCTGCAGATTTGTCGTGAGACTCAGGTCGTTCAGTAAATGCTCTTGCTACCTGAAATACACAATAAGAAAAGCATTTGAATTGATTTCCTTGGACATTAATGGAAAAAGGAAAACAGAATTAAGAACCCACTTGTGTGAAGTCAGAACCATTGGCATTTCCGTTCTCTGAAACAGAACCTCTAGGTGAGGATCCTTCCTCAGAACCTTCTGGTACTGGAGATGGTGGTTGAGGAGGAGAAACATACAGCACTCTCAATTTGCACTCCTCAACCACATGCCCTGCCTCCTTGTTGAACTAGCCAATCCAACAGCACAATAAATCTTGTAACTTCAGATAACAAAAAGAAATCAAATGAAAATGTAAAAGCAACTAGCACAAGACACATACCATTTCTGCAGTGATATCCTTCGGACTGGCACCATCAACAGTTTTTACGCTCTGAAGAAGAAACTTATCCTTGCATTGCATATCAGGTGGAGCCTCTTTTTGTGCTTGCATGGTAACTTCCATTAGTTTATATGAAAAAAAAAAAAAGGTTCCGAATTTATTACTCGGCCAGAAAGCATACTAAAAAAAAGTACCAATTCGCATTCAAAATAATCATATCAATACCCATAACATCACATGTAGACCGTGGCAAGACAATTCCAGTGTTTGGACGAACACAATACTTCTTCGGATTGGTTGTTTTCACCTGAAAAACCAAAACCAAAATCCAAACATAAACATCTCAGAAAAACTGCAAAACGTGCGGTTTTAATCCTACATTAGGCGAAAACTACGTGAACTTGACAGGCCGCAATCAAAAGCACCAGATCTCACAATAGAAGCAAAAACAAAATCCAGGATCGAAGCATAGTCGAACGTAATTAAGAAAACGAAAGCGAAATTGGGCGTTACCTTGAAGGCTACATAGGCATCGGTCTTATTAGACAATTGAAGAGAACATGAGATCTGCTTCTTGAGTTCAACTAAAGCAGGAAGAAAGAAGGAGAAATGAGAGAGGTGTGAGGGAAACCCTAGAAGAAGAGAAAGAGAGGGAGTTGAAGGGAAACTGACAGGGGAACTTGAGTTCGAGAGGTTCGATGTCGAGGAGCTCCCCAGTGCTCATGTTGGAGATGGATCGATGGAGTCGAGACGCAGAGGAGTTGGAATTCTGATCACACTCTCTCTCACACACAGATTCGCTTTTCTTCTCCTTTTCTATTTTCTCTGCCGTGGACAAAGTCGCCGTATCAAACTGCCTTCAAACTTAGACAGATACACGCAGTTTTGGAATTCAGTACCCACCCACCCACTGGCGTCACCAAACCAATACCAATATATTTATTAACTTATTAAAACGCACCTTCATAGTTAAGTTTCACAAAATTTATTACCAAAAACCTTAAAACCGCAACTAATGTAGGCTAAATGTTTTTTTTTCATCTTTGTCTTTTAATGTGTTTGGTACATTAAGTTTGCAATTTGTTACTCTGTATAGGATTTTAAAATATTCCTTGTTGTCTTGTGGACTTTGTCTATGTGTTGTGTTTTCAATTTTCATCAGTTATTGATATTGGTAATTGTCAATTTTTTCTTGCAATTTTTTATTTAAGGTCTGTGTTCCCTTCTTTTCCAATTTATGTTTGTCGATGTATTGAGGACAATTCTTCGTAAAGTCGTAATAATAGAATCACATGCTTTTGATACCCTGATAACCATTAGCAAAGTCACACGTCAAATAACAGAGAACCAACACTACATCGATAATATACTAATAAAAGAAAAACCAAACACTTAAAATTTACCTCAAAGGACAACACTAAACAATAGTGAATATGGTTAATGGTTGCGAATGAATTTTCCTTTTCTTTAATGATTGACAACCTAAGGGAGCAAAGTAAACAACAATGTTTTACTAATATGAAGATCTCAACATAAGCATTTAATAAATACGTGATCAACGTTTGTTAACTTATTTAATGTTTTAGTAAAAAATTAGTTTTTTTAAATATAATCAAATATTAAAGTGTAACTTCTTGATTTTTCAACACATTATTTACTAAGATACTTAGTTGTTTAAAATAATTATAAGTTGTAAAGAAATTATTTAAAAAATTTTAGTAAAATAAAATTAATATTAAATTATTTTAAAATATATGTCATCATGACTCTTTTATATTTTTTTTAGATAAATTTTATAATTTTCATTAATCTTTTATTTTTTTTAGATAAAAAATAACATAGGTTAGTTGTTTCTATTGAAAAAGGTAGTTGATGTACCACCGTCAATAACATTTAATCTTATTTTTATTATTTTTATTATTCAAATGTAATTTTACAATTTAAAAAAAACATTATATGGAGTATTTATTTTTAGTCATGCTATATTTTTTTTATACCTTTTTATTTCTTTTGTTCATACAATTACAATGAACATGGTATTGATGATTTGACTAAGGAATACAAGTAGTTACTTGTTTATTTTATTTAATTTTGTTAAAAACATCTTAACTGTATTTATTTATCCAACAAAAAATTAAAGATATTGCTAATTATCACTTTTTCAATTGTGGGTTTATTTCTATCTATTTTTTATTATTTTTTTTTGTAAATTATTATTATTATTATTATTATTATTATATGCTTTTAAAATTAGACCGATGACTCGATTAGTTAAAAGATTGAATCAAAATTCACTCGTTTAACCGTGATAAAATAATATTAAAACATAATATCATAAAATTGATCTTAAAAACTAAAGTGAAACAAAATTTACAAGTTCTTAAAATTTTAAATGTATCTAAAATTTAAATGAAATCTATGATTATACTTAAATTGAAAAGGCAGTTAATATTTATCAAGTTGTTTATGGTGGAATTTCGATCGATTTCGATTCTAAAGGTGTCTCGGTCTTAATCGAAATCCTCCCACGTAAGTTCTTTTTACTTAGGCTAGCAATTTGATTTTCAATCGAAAACGTGTATGAGAATCGAAAATCACAGGATATCGAAAACGCTGTTTTTGGTGTTTTGTATTTAAAGTATCGAAAGCATTAAAACTATCGAATCGAAAAAGCAGAATGTTAAATTGCGAGGAAATGTAAAGTGCGAAAACCCCAAACTTGCATTAATTGTAAATAGCAAGAAATCGAAAACAACGCAAATATAAATGACAAGAAATCGAGATTGCAAGAAAAGTAAATGACGGAAATTGAAATTTGCGAGAATGTTAAATCATGGAAACCTAAATGCATAAACTTAAATTTGCATTGAATTGAAATGGACAAGGAATCGAAAATACGAAACATAAGACTGCTGAATTTAAGTTGCATCAAAGTAAATTACCAAGGAAAATACAGAAAGCGGTAAATGTACTCAGTGAGCAAGGAAATCCAGATTACCAGAAGCTTCATGGTGTTCGTCGTTTCTCCGGTAGACTTTTCACTACTGATTCTGTTCTCTGCCAATTTTTTGCCCTCTTTTTCCTTCCTCCTTTGCTCTATTTATAGGGTATCCTTCAAGCCTTCCAAGAGCAGTTAACACGACTGCTACCACGTTCTACGTGCGTATGGCCGTTTATCTTCTATAGTTTCCCACGTTCTTCACGATCTCCGACTTTTTTTCCATGATTTCAAAACTGCTCTTTATACGTGCATTCGACTTACTTCCTTTCACGATTTGGCCAAAGTCTCGATGTCCACATTGGTCTTCCTTACTCTCGATTCTGTATTTTTCGAGAACTTCGAATTGCTTACGATTCCTTTTTAACCCTGGTCTTACATGACTTAGTTTTTATTCGACAATAGTCATTTGATTATTATTCGTTCGATTCTCGATTGTGCTTCTCGATGCTATATGCCATGTATTTTTAATTAGACATCGAATGAATTTTTGTTTATCTTATCGAGTCACATTTCTTTCCTTCGATTTCGATCGCTTTTCTCGATTTGCCACTAACAAAATGCCCCCTTGGAAGAATATAAATGATTTCTGTTTTATATTCTTTCAATATTCCCGCCTTAGTGTTTGAAAGCCCACAGGATTTAGGGTTTAGGGTTTTTGGGGTTCTAGGGTTAAAAGGGGTTTTAGGTTTCTTTTACACTTTACGTCGCCGTCTCGTCAGTCTGTTGCCTTTCAGTACAAGTTACATTAATTATCTTTCCCTTCCGTCGTTTCCAACTCCCTAGACGATTTCCCTTTAACCTTTCCTTGGTCTTTACTCTAGTCTTTACGCGAACTATCACCCTCTTCGCAATCTTATCTTCTCCTTTGAGCTCCTGCTTTCGTCCCTGTTACCTCATCCGTTAACTCTTCCCTTTCTGTTTTCTTAAGCTCATTACAATGGCCACTTCATCCAAGTCATCTGATTTCTCGACTCCCCCTCTTGCCTCATCCGCTGCTACCTTGCTAGAGATTAACAACCAGAAGTTTGCTCCCCTGCCTCTAATGGAGGAAGCTTCCAAAAAGATTGCTGAAACGCAGGTATTAGTTCCTTATACTGTTGAGGGAGTTGGTTTTGCTTTTGGGGGCCCCATTCTTTCTGGTAGTGGAACTGTTTCTCCCCTCACCCTCTCAAACAGCCCTGCTCTTGTACATCAGCCTGAAGTTAGGATCGATTTTCTGAACCTTGTTTCTAAGGTGTATCGGACAGGCCCTCCCTCCAAAAAACCTTTGTTTACTAAATGGTTTGATAGGGTCAAAGCTAAGTTTGGGAACCATTGGAGAAACGTAGGGATTTTCGATTTTTTACACTTGTCTCAATGTGACTTGTCTTACTTAGACATGTCTATGTTTTTGGTTGTCGTGCATTTATGGAACAAGGAAATACATGCATTGGAATTACCTTGCGGCCCTCTCTCACCTACTCTTTTTGATGTCGCAGCCATCACTGGTTTAAAACCTATAGGGGAAAGATATTTTCAGGGTGCATTTCCTTCGGATAATTCACTGAAGTCAAAAATTGATTGGGAATCGAAGGCTTATGGGCATTTCCTTGAGAAACATTTTATTGATGACCCTTCGATAGCAGTTACTGACGAAGAGCACGTAGCATTTTTGGTATATTGGTTGTGTACCCATGTATTTTGCCCCCGATCAATCCAAATTTCCCCCCATTTATTTAACCTTGCATATCTCCTTCATTTAGGCCAACCTAACCTATGTTTAGCCAAGTTTCTGTTAGCGCATGTATATACTACTTTCGACGAAGCTGTCGATATTTTGAATACTCCTAAGGCATCGGAGAATTTTTCTGGCCCTGTTTGGTTCATCCAGTTATGGTTAACTTCGATTTTTGAGAGCATCCTTCCTCGATTTTCTACCGTCCCCCCGAGTGTGAATATAGAAGGGGCCCGATTATCTTCTCGTCATCCTCGCCATAAGTCTGACGAAACTACCTATTGTAAATACCTTCACTTTTTGTTAACTAGATTTGATTTCGATTCAACCTTTGCCCCTTTTACTGTAAATCTTGGACGAACAAGTGGCCAACTTAGGGGGCCTATTTGGTTTAAGTCAAAGTTTCCTGCTTCAACTCCTGGGTTGCAATTAGAATTGGTCGATATATGGAGTAACTACTTAACCCAGGATATATTAGTATCGGGCTTTCACCCCAAGGATTTCAAGTTTACTACTTACTACCCTCAACTTTTTTCAAGACAATTTGGCCCGAGCCGGTCTTTACCCTTTTTCCCTTTAAATACCTTCCCCAAATCCAAATTGGCTGAGTCGAACATCGGTAGAGAGCTTTCCAAATTTTTGCCAAGAACCTCGATGCATCTTTATCCATATGTATTTGAATCGAATTACTTATCGATTGTGGAATTTTCTCAATGGTGGACCAATTGGTTTTCGAGTAATCGTCTTTGTTTTTGACGAGGTTCGACAGAACCGATCGCTCGTCCTTCTCTTGTGTTGCGGGACAAGTCGAAAGGGAAGAAAGGTACACACTTCCACTTGTCTCCAAATATCTCGATTCGAGAATTTTTATCAAATATGTTATACTCCACTAAAACTAGAATCGACCTTTTATGATGCTTGTCATTTCCTTATCCGAAAAACAGATACCAATAGATCGAACCACAAAATAATTAATCCCTTAGGAAAAACCCCTTTTGAAATGTATTGT